GTCCATAGCCTCTGGGATCCGGAGGCGGCGGGAGTGGGCCGGGCGGCAGATCTCTCATTCCTAAGGGTGGGCCAGGTAAGAAGTCTCTTGCAGCTGGAGGTGGCAAGGGAGCGCCACGAACTAGAACGAAAAGAAAACACCAAGTTAAGCGACATCTCGCTTTAACCTAGCCTGTGAAGCTCCCGACTCGCTCTTCGTTCTCTGGAGCAGCTCTGAGGTGGGTCACTGGCACATGCAGATGTCAGAGGCCACGAATTACGTTCTAGTGACTTATGGCTGCTGGTTTCCATTTCAGACTGAACAAGGAAAAACAGCGTGGCATCAGGCACGCTTGATAAACCCCACCTGTCCAAGCTTACTGGGCAAGACAGCTCAGCCCCATGCTGCGTGCGGCAGCTGTGCGCTCGCGGATGGCAGATCGCCGTTCTGTAGCCGGCTTCCCAGAAGCACAGTGGGTAAAGTTATGCTGGGAAAAGTTATGTTTCAGCATGCAGCAACACAACTCTACCTAGGGGCACAGGAAGAGGTCGAGGCCCGAAGTGCCCACGGAGAGGAGCCGGCGGCGGTCCGTAGCGAACAGGCGGCGGAGGCGGAGGTCCCATCACGGGGGCAGTCATGATAGGTGTCCCAGGGAAGGAAGGCGGGCCCTTGGGACTAGCATTAGCCTGTGCAAGATCAGGTTAATACTTCAGCGTGTTACTCACTGCAGAGAAGTACTGACACTGCTGAACACCACAAGCACTCACCCAAAGGTCAAGAGGTGGGAGAGAGAGGAAAAACAAGCGAAAAAAAGATAAAACCGACACCACAAAACACATTAACCAAGGACAAAATAGGGAAAGTTACTGCACCATCACTGTCCCTTTACCCAGGACACTGCCTGCGCTACCTAGGAGTGAGCGCTGAATGTACCTTCTGCGATGACAAGTTTTCTTTAGCTAAAGTTGTTCACAGAAAAGTTTGATCCCTTTAGAAATGTCCTGGGTGGAGACCCCTTTGGTAAAGGGCCTGGCACCTTTAATTACGTATGGAATTGTGCTTAAATACCACAGGTAAGTCAGCTGCTTAGGATTACTGTAGGAGTCACTCCAAAGTGTTTGCCTGCAGTCCTTAACAAGAAAGATCTCATTTCCTCAATTCCATAAAAACCAGACAGCAACTGTTCATCATTAGAGAAACCTTTTGAGACAGAGGTATAAGCCCTTGATTAGTTTCGCAGAGCATTTTGTTATTCAGCAGTTCAGAACACCAAGCCTGTTATTCCTCTCCAACAAAGCAGAGCAACACCGTATTCAGCCTCCGAATACTCACTGTAGCCGGTTCAATAGATGAAGGTGAATCAGTAGTGACACAGGGGGCTTCAGGCTCTTTGGGAGAGGGCTGCTTTTTTTTTTTTTTTTTTTTGGACAGAAAAAAAGGAAGATATAGACAAGACAGAACATGATACAGTTAAAGAAGCAGCAGGAAGTACAGTGAATCGTGTATTAGAAACGCTTCGTGAAGGCTGGGGTTTCTTCAGCTTACCACTCCATCCACTGCTGTGGAAGGGGAGGAGGTTCTTGGCCCAGGCCCACTACTGATCAAGGACGCGACAGCAGGTCCGAGATCTGTAAAGAGAGCCACGTGTGTATGTCTTAGTATGCTTGGGGTAAGGAACGTGGTTTTGAAACTACATTTCTGAAGTGAAAGAATAACTGAATGAGCTGCAGCTGGCTGCAGGCCACATAGCTTACCAGGAACAGACATCCTTCCAGGTAACTCTGGTGGCCTTCGAGGAACAGGGGGGCCGTCTACCACTGTACCGTAAGAACAAGAATCCCAGAGATCCTCATCAACACATGCCGGAGCTACTTGTTGCTCTTTTTTTTGTTTAAAAAAGAAGAAAAACCACACAAACAAAAAAACACCACAAAAAAACAAACACCAAAAAACCCCTAAAAAACCACACCACCACTCATCCGAGTACTAATAAAGCAAGTATCAATACTTAACAAGATCAGACCTTCGCATTCTTGGGTTGGTAGCATAAGAGACAGTTATCACAGAAGGGAAGCTTCACTGCTTACCAAATTCACCTCTTGAGCCTTCCCTTCGAGGAGCAGAAAGGGGCCGAGCAGGAACTTCTATCATCTGTGTGGGTGATGGATTTCCGCCACTCACAGGTGACGGGCCAAAAGAGCCATCTCTGCTTAAGGGCCCTATGCCAAAGGAGAATTTATCATAGCCTTGCTTTTAGGATATACTGACTCAAAGACCAAAGTTTTGGGGGAAACAGCAGCATTTACCTCGTCGGGGTGGGACTTGGCGATCAGGTCTGCCTGGCGTTGGCTTTACAATTAATGGTCTTTGAAGCATGACGATTTTTTGGTTTACTTCTATTAACCTAATTTTTAAAAATAAAGAGTATTTTTAGTCAAATAATACATGTGAGTTATACTTGTTACAATGTAACCAGGCAAACTACATTGTAAATGTTACAGCTTTCACCAAGAAATCTTATTTTAACCATCAAAACACTTTCAAGTTAGCAACTCAGATATGCACTGCGCATTCTGAGCAAGCAGGCTCACTGAGCACCTTGCATTGTTTGAGCTCCTTCTCTCCCAAGCCACACACGGCCTGTTCAGAGAGCAATAAAAGCGCTCTGTATGGTACCTACTTTTGTCTCAGGTTGGCTGCTTCTCTTTTTTCTTCAGCCAGAGCTCTCTCAGCAGAGCGCGCAATAAGCTGTTAGGGAAAATTTTGCCAGCTGCATTAACTGCACCAACCTGAAGTCAAACACAAACCGTTTGCATCAGAAAAGGAAGAATATTCTTACCCAATTGTCGTGTGCCTTTTTCTCATGAGCAGCAATCTGAGAAGAAAAGAAGTGGTTTAGTTTATTTTGTCCAACTACTAGTACTCCCAATAACTCGCTACAGAGAACTGGAATGATGCAGTAAAAGGTGACACAGTAACCAGCAAGAAAGAAGTTTACCTGGTTTTTGTAAGATCTCTCTGTTTTTTGCAGTTCTTCTTCCATATCTTGGATCCTTTGCCTGTACAGAAGGAAAAAGAGCGGAAGGAGAAAGGTTTAAATGAATTTGCTTCAATAGCTGAAATAAAGGAAAAAAAACCAACACAAACAGTCTTCAGAAACTGAAATTACTTGTAAACTTTCACTTCCTCAATGGCTAGCAGGGCTTTTTCATCTGCAGCAGACAATTTCTGCTCCTTCTCCTGACGCTCATATTCTTCCTGGGTTAGTTTTCTGCATGGGGGGCGAAAAAAAAATAAAAATAAAAAGTATTGCCCTACTAACAACAGTGATATCAGAATCTATAACAATGTGTGAGAATACAGAGAGGGAATAAAGAGAGGTGGTTTTTTTGTGGGTTTTTTTTGTTTGTTTGTTGTTTTTTTTTTTAAGAGACAGAAATACTGCCTTTCAAAACCAACAAACCCTTGGTGTATAACACCTGAAAACTAAGGATGCAGAGTTAACTGGAAAGTTCTGTCAGCATCTAAAAATTTGCCAGAATCTAACAACTGCAGACAGTTCATCTCTTCAGATCCTGCAGTTTACTTACCAATTCTACAGATGGTAATCCAGATTTACAAAGGTACAAACAAGGAAATATGCAAAACTGACAGCTAATCAAGGCAACTGAAGAAATAAACGTGTAGTGAAAAAGAGGCAATTTAAGGCCCAGGTTCAATACACATTCAGCAGTCATCAACTGTGTGGAAAGAAGCTTTTTCCAAGTACTCTCCCTACCAATTTATTACATGACCAATTTCCACAGTCTTTTCATAACCTCATGGTTCATTACTTGTTCCATTTTTGACATTTTTCTGGAAGTATTTAACAGGTCCACAATGTGCTCCTAACTTACAAGAGCTATCCCACAAAACTGGGACCATTAAACTAGTAAGTTAACTATTGCTAATAGCCAGTTCAACACAATCTACTTCCTTAGCTACATGTGGAAACAGTTTTCCAGAATAAGAAAAATTGCAGGAAGCCTTTCATTCTAATCAAGAAGTAGTAACAGGCAGTTTAACTTCCTAAAAGTTTTGGAAGGAATAGAAATCCTTCAGAGAGGTCAAGAGGAAGTTTTCCTTAAAAGGTGGGCTATCCTTCACCTCTCCATTATGTGTCTACTACACTTGGACCCTGTAGTTACGAGGTCAGGCAGTTTCACTGCTGAGGCACTGCACAGCCTCCACTCATTACCTTGTTCCAGCCCCATGCTTCCCCCCAGCCGACACACCCAAACCTTAGAACCGTCAATTGCTTCTCCCTCACAATTTCAGCTTTCCCACAGAATTTAGCTGAAAACGTCCCTGGATCCTATCTCAAATTTTCCCCACAAAACTGAGATAGTATTACAGGCATTTCAGTAAGTAAATAAATGAATAAATAAATAAGGAATGAACACAGATGCATAATTAGTTCTTCAGTGCTAGCAGCTCATTCATCTCAGCTGCCACCATGTACTCAGCCTTAATTTAGCCCTTCAAGAATGCAAAAAACTCACAACGCTAAAATACTGAGTGTCTACATTACGAGAATTAGACTCACTGAACTGAGGTCAGAGTAACTGAAACAAATCTTAATGGCCACTATATTCTCCTTGACATTTCTGGACAACGTGAGCAACCACAGAACTTGCAGACCAAGCCACCCACCTCCCCTCTCCAAAAGTTGTTTGTTTTTTTAATAGTAGAAGGCAATATTATGTGTGCAACTTGGTAGCCTTTTTAGAATCTCTGGAATAGTGGAAAAAGTAAAAAAGGGATACTAGCTTCAACCATACTGAAACAGTAGTCGTCGTCACTTTTCATTCCAAACACAGCTTCACGTTATTTGATCCTTCTGAGAAAAGAGCGTTTGGATAGCGCCTACGAAATAATATGCTATGCTGGGGAAGAGTAATGCAAGGCTTACTTTTGGAGCGCCATCTCCTTCTGCTGGTAAAGTTCACCAAGAATCTCCACTTTCTGCTGTAGCGTTTTGCATTCATTTTCCAGTCGAGCTTTGTCTGACTGGAGCGAACAGGAGTCATGTTCTAATTTTTTTATTTGCTCTGTTGGAGAAGCAGATGTTGAAGGAAGTTGCAATGAGAACAGTTATGCCGCTTAAGCGCTCTGTTTCTTTTTAAACCACAAGCAGCATTTCATCCAAAGCAATTCTTTTGCTAAGCCTACCTTCCAGCTCGTGTCTTGCTGTTACTTCATCACTCAGTTTGGACTGCAGAAGATTTCTGTCTTCTTCAACTATGGATAACATAGTTTTTACCTGAAAGGAGGAGCACAAAGTTTACGATCTCAGGCATAGCAGTAATGTGGCTGCATTTATTAGATATCTTGTGCAGCATACCCTGGAGACATCCATCATCTGCTTAATCTGAGTCTTCATCTTCTCACTCTCATTATCTAGAAGAGAAAAACATATGTGTTTTCCCTGTTTCTTAACCCTAATCCTGGACTCTGCAGCTGTTAAAAATAACACTTCCTACACTTTAATCTGGGATAGGTCTCCTTATGTGGTCAAAATACAAAAAAAAAAATAAAAAAAAAATAGGGCAGTCAGGTAGTGAACAAAGCACAACAGCAATTCTGTGACCAGCATAACTACTACATTTATTCCAAAAGGCATTCAGAAGATTCCTTCTTGTCACTTCTTCTAGCTACAGTACTAATATTAACGTGAATGCAATATCTGTTACTGGACATAGTATGTGAAAATCAGCCCACATCTACAGTATGGTTAGAAAAAAGGAGAAGAATGAAAGAAAAAAAAAAAGAAAAAAAGAGGACTCCAAAACCAGGGATATGGCAAATACACGTGCAACATCAGGAAAGACAAACTTCCTGAGTAGTTTTGAAAATGTGTATTTCGGTCTTTCAGAGTTAAAAGCTGTGATTACCTACATTAGTTATCTGTCTGGAGGTAAGCACAATACTCATTAAAAATCCATACTAAAAATAAATATAGCATAACAACAAAGCTGAGATCCTCAGCTTTTGAATGTGCTTATTTACTAACCTTTACACGCAACCTTTAAAACCATGTCATTACACTTACGATATACCTAAAAGGTAATCCAAAAGCAATTACTGGCCTTTTTAACTGTTTCTCCCTTCATTTAGGAGGTATTTTGTGTTTGAAGACTAAAGCTGGCAGTCTCTTAACCCACAGGCAGCTCCATGCCTGGATTCCCCTTCCCTGTATGACATGACAGGAACGTACCACCGCGTACGCTTTAGCCACTGGACTTATTGGCCAGCAGGTAGGATTACTGTACCTGGCAACTCTCCATTGGCCAGATCGTCTCCCGCGCTCCATTCACCCCCTTCACCGTCCTTCTTGGCCTCAGATGCTGAATCCATGTCGAGCTGCTTCAGCTGCATAATGCAGTTGGTTAAAACCTAGTAACGAAATCACAGCTTCACTGAAGGAGAATCGCTCTGCATTTTGTAAAGTAGTCCAAAGTATTTTATGATGTGTAATATTCAAAAACAAGCTTGTTATAAAGAACCTACTTCAATTTCATTTTCCTTGTACGCAAGTGCTTCTTCTATGTCCTTCTGAGATTTCTGATACAGTTTGATCTGCTCACTGAGCTCAGTATGCCTCTCACTCCAGCCTTCAGCTTCTTTTAGCAGCTGTATGAAGCACCAAGGGAAGATGATTACTTGTTTTATTTTTAGTACAGGGTATATCTAATTAAAGTCTATATTACTGCCAGCTCTGGTGATAACTGACCACCATAGATCACAGATAAAGGGTAAACTTCACAGTTATCACGCTCATCACTAGTCCATTGGTAGAACTGGATGCTGGTGATCTTTATGCACTTTGTATTATTAGGTGATTTTACAAATTTGACCTTTTCTTAGCTAATATCTCAACATCGGAACCAAAGTGCTCACACACTTCAAAATATGAGGAATTATTTGCAGTCCAGAGGTAATCAAACCTCCACATATGGAGAAAGAAAACAGACGGATATTTACAATTATCTGTAAAAGAACTGTCATGACATTTCAGGGCTAAAGGTCCTCCCCATTTAGCTTAGTTTCAGAATTGCTTTTTGGCAATTCTTTACCATGACTTCCTTCAGTCCTGATCCCAAGTAGCAATCGCCCGATCATGCAGTGACCACCACATCAGCACAGACTTTCTGTGAAGCTGCTGACAAAAAACGAATCACTGGAACTGACAAAGCCTTCATACTGAAGACACGTGGCTCACCTGCACAAAAAGCCTGTGCAAGCAGGCACAAGGGGTTTAAATTTTATCTTGATAATATGAAATGTGGAACTCTGACACATTAAGAAAACAGAGACGCACTGAAGTTATATTCAAGAAAACTAAAAATAAAGCCCAAATATTTTGTTCAAAAGAGAAACAAAGTTCCCTGGCCTAGGCATAACTTACTTGCTCCTTGCTCGTTTTGAGCCTAACATTCTCTTCCTGCACATGATGAAGCTCAGATTTCACCTTTTCTTCACTTAGTTTAGCTTCATTAAGGGCTATCTGTACCTACATATGAAACAAAAAGGAACAAGACGACTTACAGTCAAACTGTAATGGAGCAAGAGCTACATATTACCTGGTAATGGAAAAGAAAAAGGTAATATATGCATAAACAACCTGCAACTTGCCAAGCTAGCATTTTTTATTACATCCTAGATAAAAATTTTTCTGGTACAAGAAGCTGTAGCTGTGACTGTTAAGAGGATGTAGACAATGCTTTACCTCTGAAAGCTCTACAGAATGCACACTGATAGCCTCTTGAAGTTTCTCCAAGGATTTCTGGGTTTCAGAGATCTACATAAGAAAAAGATGAGTGGGGAATTTGTGTTAGCCTGGTACTTGCCTTAGCCCAAGTGTGCAATTACTTTACCCACATATTTTGGAAGCATGAAAAGCAAGCCAAAACACCAACAAATTTCCATTTAGAGCAGCCATTAGAATCGCAGCAATACAGGATTGCCTTATCAGCAAGAAACACACAGCATACTAGAATCAGCTTTCCCCTGTGACTGCCTGGCTGGGAAAGTTCTCTGTACACCTGCACAGTCCAGAGCAGAAGTACCACGTGCTGCTGTCATTAGCAACAACCTTTGATCAAAGCAAGACCAAAGAACTTGTTGGAGCTTACTGTTACTACAGAAGATCAGGCGTATGGAAAAAAAAAAAAAAGAAAATACACTAAAAATAAATTAATACATACATACATCTCTGGACAACAAGAATGAGCGGCAGCCTGGAGATCTTCACACTTACTATAGAACTAGATGCTTCCTCTAACTACAACAAAATGCCTTTTGTCAACCTGAAACCTTCAGCCCTTGATGTTAAGGAACTTCCTGGCTCTGGCTAGGAAGTATTAGACTAGCCCATGACTTGAACACATCCATTTGTGTGTGAAAGCACATAACCACACAAGTTCATCAAGATCTTATTAAAAAAAAAAAAAAAGAAAAATTTAAATACAATCAACAGATTCCCCCACTTGAGCTTGGATGAATCTGAAATTCCATTTCAGTTCTGTTTTTTTCCAGATGATTCGTCTTGTTTACTCTGCCTCTCTCTGTTCACCCATTAAGTCATGACCAGCTTTTAGGGCACATTAAGTTAAGGACGTTGTAAGACATGAGTGTGATTGCTCTTACCTTGTTCTGTTTCTTCTCATTCTTCTTCCTCTCCGTTTCAAGCATTGTGTGCAGATTTTTTACTTTGTCATCTAGCTGACGGTTTGCTTCTTCCAGTCCTTTGACAGTGTCCTAAAAAAAAAAAAAAAAAAAGAGACTACAGCAAGCTCTTTTACTGATGTTTTTTGCTTTCAGTACAGAGACAGTTAACTGTTTCTTACCTTAAGCCCTGCAGTTTCATCGCAGAGAATGTCTTTTTCTTCTTGGGCCACTTTCACAGATTCCTTTGCTTCCTTTATCTAAGCACAGAAACAACCACACAGAACTGAGTAAATTGTCAGTGTAATATTCAGTAAGAATAGAAAATAAAAAGATATTGGCTGTTGCACTGACCGTGTGCAACCAGTAACAGAAAATTAGGAAGCAAAGGATGAGAACTCAGAACAATACCTTTTGATTGTATTCTGACATCTTTTCTAAGATTTCTGTTTTTTCTTGCAGAAGGTTTTTAATCTTTTCAGCAAGTTGCTTTTCAGTCACTAGGAAGAAAAAGAAAGCTTACCAGTAACTGTACTTCAGAGCTATCATTACTGCCACTTCAGGGAACATTTTCAAGTAAGGGCTAAAGTATAAATCAGGATAGTGTCAATTCCCTGGCCGTCAACCTTTTCTGCAGGAGTTTAAGCATCTCCAGCTTTCATTTGAAGTTATGCTTGAAAACAAGACAGTAAAGCCTTGAACAGTGAAACAAAGCACACAGCTCTCGCATCCACTTCACAGCAGCTGGTCAGAGAACACACAGTAGAGCACAGTAAGATGCTGGCTACGCACAGATGAGGTCTATTCAAGGGAAGAACTGGCAGTAAGGATGTCAGAGCAGTCTCAGACTACTGCTGTGACACTCAGGGAGATGCAACACCTTCCCAAACAACGACCTCTTCCTGCTGTATTGAAACTGAGTGTTTGGTCAGCAAAGGTAATAGGATGAAAGTTCTTGAAAGACCCACTGAGAACAGAAAAGAGACTGCCAGCTAGCAGACAGCATCAGTAACCCTCAAGGAACTGCACAGCTATCTAACAGACCTCAAAAGGGCTGTGACTGAGCAACAGTCTTTTGTTTCTCAACCTAAACAGGCCACCAACCAACCCTTAGGATTCAGTGAAAATCATTAACATACTTAAATTATTTAATTGCAAATTAAAGAACATCCAATTGTCATTCTTTTTCAAGTCCTAAACCACCTCTGTATTTGAACACCCCAAGCCTCGTTTGCCTCAACAAATCCAGCCGCACAAACAGGAAGCTCCGGTTGCTCCAGCTGCATCCCACAGGGTGCAACACAACTGCTGCTCCTCCTTCCCCTCCGGCAAGAGGGCTTCTGGGCCAGAGGGTCCCCAGCCTCTCCTGCTCCAGGAGAGGGGAGCAAAAAAGCCACTGCTGCAGTGCAAGACAGTTCTCATCAGTTTAATGGGGGCAGGAAGCCCTGCATTAGCTTGGTCTCCCAGTTTTATTACTCTCATGAAGATTAGATAATTGATTTTACCTTTGGGACTCCAAATATAATCCATCTTTTAAAGCATATTTGTCACTGTTCATATTCCTATATTCTGCATTAAGATTTTAATAACAATATGACCTTTATCATGCTTAAAGAATGTCTATTTAGTAGTTTTTATACAGTATCACACAGAAGAATATCGGGGGGGATTAGACCTAAGTTCCTACTTTTTTAGAGCAGGCTGCGAAGTAATTTCTACACAACCAATACCAATGTTTTTCTCGCTCCCATCTCTAGTAACAATAACTGTTTTGCAGTATAGAAATCACTTTACAGATCTTAGAATTTTTTTTCAGCTCATCAATTCTGCATTAGTTGTGTAGAAGGAAACTGCAGCAGAACTACAACAAAATTACAGAGCAATGACTGATAAGTAGTACTGTTTGTGACGAAGAAAGAGGCAGAGAGTTCATAGTTCATGTGAAGACAATTCTTTCATGTTTTTGTTCTGTATTCAATTGTTAATTTCAGCAATCACCCTACTTTGAATTCTATTTCTTTTCCATTCAGTACAGTTTAATTTTATACACTTGAAGCTGGAGAAATGATCCTGTAAAAAGCAAAGTGCTAGCCACAGGAATACCTGCATATTCACGTCTGCATTTAGAAGGTCTCTTTGCAACCGCAGAGCCATCAGTTCAGGCTCCCCTCAGTCCAGCAAGGCAAGAGGAAACAGCTGTTGCTTTTTGTGAGAAGCAACAAGCAAAAGCACATCCACTGCTAGTCAGAAAAACAAAACAAATTCTGTCCCACTACCATTGTACCAATAAACCAATGGATCACATTTACGTCAAATAAGGTGGAGCTTTTCCTTGTTTGTTTAATTTGCAGGTGCGAGCTGCATTGTTTCTCCTTATCAAAGCATTACCAAAAGCAAAATTGAAATCCTCATATTCAAGTGAGTACCATCTACTGGTCTAGCTTACACTGTAACCTTAGACTCAGCATTCTCCTTGAAAGGGAGTGAAGATGAATACTTGGTCCTCCGAAACAATACTCAAAACTTTTACATGCCTAAGCACCAAGTACACTGAAAAGCATGGAGAAACTTACCTTGATACATTCTACTCTTTACCTACAGGAGAAAAAAAAAAAAAAAATTAGTCATAAAAAGTGGAAAGAGAAAAATTTCATTAGTTTTCCCTAACGAAAAAAGCCACCACTTATATGCAGATTCAAGAAGCATATGGAAAACACATCTATCGCTGCCAACAAGAGTGTTGAATAACACTACAAACAAGCTTAGCTGTTTTCTAATAAAAGCTCCTAGGTTAATGCCCTGTCCTAGAGCCTTAGTAAACGTCTGTTTACTCAGTCACTAAAAGGGTTGCAGTAACTGCCCACATCCAATCTGTAACAAAGAAAATAAAGCCATTTTGCATCAAACAACAGTCACGAACTTGCAAACACAAAAATCACTTGCATCCCAGTTCTGACCCTTTTAACGCAATGTATGTCTACATGGCAGTTGCTCATTTTGAAATTAACACTGTTAAAGAAGAATTTCAGAAGCACTTTTTTTATGCTGTTATGTTAACACTTCTTGGCATTTCAAACTGACCTAGTGTATTCAATATCAAAACTAAGAAAGGAAAAAAAACACCAATATTGTTACAGATAATATTTAGTTTTAATTTACTTTTGTCAAGCCAAGACAAAGTATTTCAGACTTCCAGAGCATATCATCACTGAACTGGACAGCTGTAAAATACACTGACCTATCTGGTTTTAATCTGTCAATTCCCTAAGAGATGCACTGATATACTTGAGAGCTGGTGATGGTATTTTTCTTGCACAGAAAATTATCTGTGCAGGGAAAAGGAGGACAAATGCAAAGTGAGAGGCACTGAGTGGAAAGGGCTCTCCAGGGAGAACTAAGATCAGATGTTTAGGTTTCTAAATGTGGCACCTACAAGCAGTTGGACAATATGAAGGGGGGAGGATTAACTGCTTGTTTTAGAGATGGTCAGCAGCAGGCTCAAGCACATGGAAGGCTTCCCATTTCAAAGATATGCTGACCCTTTCCACCGCCTTCTTGATTTACGTCATACTCCCTTATTTCACTTTCAAAACTGCCCCTTACTAAAAAATCTTCAATTAATAGCTTAAAGCAAATGCTTCTCAGCGTGGAGAAAATTACAACTTACTTCAGCTATTGAGTCCAGCATTTAGTTCACACTAATGTTCTAAATGGAAAAAGTAAAAAATCGCAAAAGACTATACACTGCTTTGACCCCAGTAATGCTTAAACAGTTTAACCATACAAAAGACTGCACAGTAAGTGAAGTATCAGCAGGCTGGCAAGTGTGAATTATACTCACTGAAAGGCAGGTTCTCCAGAAAATTATAGCAAGTGTGGCAATTCCCACCAGGGCAGTGATAATAACAGGCTCCCATGGAAGTCCATGGAAATCAGGCCCAGGACGAATTTCCTCAGGCAGGGTAGCAACCAGCTGAAAACCGACAACATTGACAATTCTGAATGTGTTTTCATTAAATACTCAGGCAACATAAGCAGACTGCCAAACACTTTTATTCCTCTCATAAAACCAGAGAACCATCTAGAGATTTCTTGCAGTTTTCCTGTCAACCGAAAACGAAGCAAACCACAAAGCAGCTCCACACTTGCGTTTCAGCTCAGAAGCCTGAGTATCCGGAAGACACCTGACAGTAACAACCCGCGGGCAAAGAGCGGCTATGCCAAAGTAGGCCGATACACACGTTTTGGCTCACACAGCACTAGCAGTTATTTGATCTGTTTCCAAACAGAGCTATAAGTATGGAAAAACATAGGGAAAAGCCAGCTTTACACCTGGACGCTCGTAACAACCCAGTAAAACCGGCCGGGACCTTTTCGCCGCTGTCACCCGGGTCCCAGGGTCATACGGCGGCCAGAGAGCACCAACTGCCCGCAAAGGGCGCGAGCGCCGGGTACAGCCCGCGGGCTGACAGGGACA